CGCGTGGCCTGAGCTTGTTCCCGCTCTTATCCGGAAACAAGGTACACCCGAGAAGAAGAAAAACATATGCAGCCAGCTGTGTGTCCTGCGTCCTACGTGCCGTAGGGTGCAAACATCGCTGCAAGACGGCTGAGATCTTAACGCCGCCGTGATCCCACACACCAAGTGCCGATGTGTACAGCGCAGCCCTATCCACCGCCAACAGCTCCGCTAGTAAATCTGCCTGATCCGCATCAGTGACGACAGATGCTCGGTTTCCCTCCACGGGAATCCCAAGGATGGCCTCGACGTCATGCAACATGATCGTCATCTCACCGAACGGAAGGTGGAACGAGTTCGTATCCGGCTGCCATCGCTCAACGAAAGCCGTGATCAGCGTCCAGTCAATCCTGTCGTGCATGGTGGCAGGAAGGTGACTCACTCTAGTGCCCCTCAATCGCCCGACCATCTCGCTCTCCTCCGGCCAAGCATCAGCCCAGCTACACAAAAACCTACAAGTCTTTTCCCGGGTTTGGCATTTCAAAATGCCTGTATCCAAAGCCCTCTCCTGGTCCTCCCAAATACGGGTAGCGATGTGTCCTAAAAAGCTAGGAATCACACTCCCGTCTATAGGTCCCCCGGCCACCTCACCCCTCACCATCCAAGAATCATTAACGGCCCTCGACCGTTTTCTGCTACCCGCAGACACAGTGGACGCAGATGATGTGCCAGATCTACTAACAAACCTACCATCTCGACCCTTACGCACATCTACCCTATGCGTCTCATACGTATCATCAAGCCTCTGACTGAATGGACCGTAATCATCATATGGTCCACTCTGATCGTCGACATCCTCATCTGCATCTTCCTCGTCCTCGACCTCCTCCTCCTCCTCCTCCTCATCATCATCATCATCTTGATCGTCCGCAGAACAGTGCACCCGTTCTCTGCGGGCCGAGGCCGAAATACCACGGGATCTAACGTGTCTGGGCCCCGAGCTCTCCATTGAGTAGATCGTACTCCTCACGACGTCAATACTCTTCCCCGCACCAGGTCTAAATTGCGATGCCTAACTCCAAGTAAATAACGAAACATAATAACGAAAACAAATTAAAAAAAGTCGAAAATAAACACAAAAGCAAATAAACAAGTCACGGAAATAAAATTATAAACATAAAAAATATAAATATATACAAGACAATATACATATAAACATAAGAAATATAAACATAAACATATACCAAAAACAAAAAATATAAACTACAAACAAAAAAAAAAACAAACATAAACAAAAACAAAAACAAAAAATATTACCAAAAACAAAAAATATAAATACAAAAAAGGACGAAAATAAACACAAAAGCAAATAAACAAGTAACGGAAATAAAATTATAAACATAAAAAATAAAAATATAAACAACACAATATAAATAAAAACATAAAAAATATAAATATAAACATAAAAAAAATATAAATATGAACAAAACAATATACCAAAAACAAAATATATAACCAAAAACAAAAAATATAAACAACAAACTAAAAAATGAAAAACATAAACAAAAACAAAAAATCAAAAATGCAAAGAAAAAACCAAAAACAAAAAACTAACAAAACTTAAAAAATTTAAAATTGCAAAAACTTAAAAAAAGAAGAACATCAAAATTTTAAAGAAAATTTATAAAAAAAAAGGGAACTTATAATTTTTTTACATACAAAAATATAATTAAAAAAAAAAAAAATACATAGGAACATAAAATTAAAAATTAAAACTAGATACAATTTTTTTTTTTAAAAAAATAGAACATAAAATTAAAACAAATAAAAAAACAAAATTTTAAAAAAAAAAGATAAAAAAAAAAGGGAACATACAATTTAAAAAAAAAGAAAAACAAATTTTAAAAAAAAAAAAAAATTCGAAAAAAAAATTTAAAATTAAAAAAAAACAAAAAAAAAATTTAAAAAAAAAAAAGAGAAGGAGGCGCCTAGGCAAGACGCCCGTACGGTGGTGGCGGCGCCTAGCCCAGACGCCACTACCACGGCCGTGGCGCCTAGCCTATGCGCCGCCGCCGTGGTAGTGGCGTCTGGGCTAGGCGCCGCCACCATCGTATGGGCGTCTTGCCTAGGCGCTTCCTCCGTGGTGGTGGCGTCTCGCCTTGCCGCCCCACCGTCGCCGGAGGTTTTTTTTTTAAAAAAAAAAATTACAAAAATTTAAAAAATTACCTTCTGGCCGGCAAACCGCCTTCCGCCCACCGCCGGTGCCGCCACTTCCTTGCCGGGCCGCCTCGACATAGCTCTGGAAATAATTTAGAGAGAGAAAGTGGAAGTAGAGAGTAGAGAGAGAAATTGTGTTTTTTAGTTTGAGGGCACAAGTGTCATTTCACTCTTATTTTGTGGGCTTTATGTAGGAATTTGCGGGCGATGTTTAACAGTTCACTTAATTTTGTGAGTTTTAAGCATGAAGTGGATGGATGGACTAGACATATTATTTTAGTTTATGTTCAATTAATTTGGATGATATCTTGGTTCCATGTTTTGCTAAAACTTGAGACAAGTTTAATTTTAAGAGCAGGAGTATGATGTGGATCAATTAAAGGCATCATGATTAAAGTTTAATTACTTTCTTTAGTTTTGCTTGAGTCATTTAGTAATAGTGAGATCGGGTGGCATCAATCCAAAATTTACACTTTGTTTAAAGATTTAGATGTTTATGAAAAATCTGTATTTTTGTACTTTAATAAGACATAATTAAGATATTCACACTTTCTTAGGGATAATTTTAAGGTTAATTTTATCATTCAAAATCCTAGTTGGCATAGGAAGTATGCCTATAAATATGTTTATTTTCATTAATAATATTTAGAGAGTTGAATGATAAAATTTTTGTTGATAAGCTTTAATTTTGCTATCATAGGTTAAGGGATTTAAACCAAACACAAACCACGACTCTTGTGCATCTTGTTGACTACGATTGACAAGAAACCCTCAATTCATGCAAGAGTTGAGATCTATCTTAGTTACTTTTTATTGGATCTACTTAGCCTAATGCAAATAACTGCCATCTTACAAATATCAAAACAACTAACAACTAACAACTAAATGCCAAACATGGCTTTATTCACTTAATACACTACAAACTCTTAAATGGACCTAATTCACACTAATTTATTGTAGACCACTAATATAAGAGACACTATGGTTGTTTTATTAATAAAAAAAGTCACTATATTAAAATAAAGGTTATTATGTTGAAATAAAAGTCATTGTGGCATTATAAAGGGTATAAGAGGCTATTTTATTTTTGTTAATGAAAATTTTTGTATACTGGTCAATATAAATAATAAAGGTTACTACGTTAAAATTAGGGTAACTATGTTTAACATAACGTCGTATTTCAGATTCACAATAATTTAAACGTTACACAAGTTTTAATAAAAGTAACTATGTTAAAAATTTATAAAGTGTTACTAAAATAGAGTATGTTGACATTATTATTGTTCACATGTCATTCTTTAAATAAAAATTTTCCCGCCTAAATGCAACAATGATGTCATATTTTTATTTTTACTTTTTTAATTTTTAATTTTATTTAACCATTTTCAATACTTTTGAAATTTGAATATTGGAAGTTTCTACGTTACAACTACTACCTCTCAATTTATCCTAGGATTTTGAAACAAATTTAAATAGCACACTAATAAATGATCTCCTACAATGAAATATGTATTAGGCGATGTTGAATAAAAACTATATCATAATTTTAATGAAAATCTAAAACTTTAAAATAACAAATATATTTTTGTACAAGGTGCACAATTCTTATTTAAATGTACAAATTACAAAAATGAGTTTTATATAAATTGTGCATCGCATGGGTTCTAAGCTAGTAAGATTACTATGTTAAAATTAGGGTCACTATGTTCCATACAACTTCAATTGCGTCCGTATAAATCTCGTGTTTATTGTGGACCAAGTTTACGCAAGATTTTTTGCTTAATAACATCTTAAACCCATCTAATTCTAAACTAAATATAACTAAAATAATTATAAAAAAAAAAATAGAGATTAAGTGTCAAAACTAATTTAGGTCAATGTACATCCCTAATTTCATAATCAATCCGTCACATAAATTTGGCAAAGTTTGGCAAATTTGTGTACTCCGTATTGATATACAAAAACGGAAGCAAGCTAAGTGTAGAATGAGACGTAATTAGAAGCAAAAGTCTTTAGATTTGTCCAAATCATTCTCTTCTTTACTTTTTCTTACTCGAATTTCCAAATTATTAAAGTAGCCAATGATGCCTCAGTCATAGCTCATCATCACACAAATTACCTAAATCAATTATTTACTCTTTTTTTCTTTTTCTTTTTTTTTTTAAAAAATTTTTCCTCTAAAATTTAAAATAATTAGAGCAACATAAATCACTGAGTTGAAAGAAAAAATTCACTGACATTACAACAGGGTATCATATCGACATCATATCTTTATCAATTACTCAAAATTATAATTTTCTCCAAAAAAAAATGAAATTTATTTTTTTAAAATTAAGAATTTTAATTTTATTTTAAATAAAAAAATTTAAAAAAAGCTCCCACACTCGCTTTCTTAACACTGATAGGAGTAAACAAAAGCTAGTGGGACCCAAAGATGCCCCTCACATGGCCAGGTTTACATCGAAATTCGTAATTCCCAAAATATCCTTCAGAATTCCCAACAAATACCCTTAAAAATCTCCGTAATTTCCAACAAAGTATAAGGGTAATTTCGGAACACACGTACTTTTTTGTTATTTTGATTTTTGCAGAAGGAGCTCTCTCATCGAAACAAGTGATAAGGACACATGCATGTTATGCATTTGGACTTTACCTATTTCAACGGTCAAGATTCCTTCCCACAATTTCCACGCTCTCCACGCTCAGCCGTCCGATCTTTAACACTTTTTTAACCATGATTAGTTTCTTTTAACCATGGTTGAGTTCAAAGTTAACCTCCTGCCTCCTCCTTCTTCCTCTGTCTCTCTCTTTCTGCCTTAACACTCTCCTTCTCTCACAGTAGAGAGAGAAAGTTTTTAGAGAGAGAAAGTCCTTAGAAAACCTTAAATTTTCTTTCTTTAATCTTTTTTTTTCCTCTGTTGTAGATTATTTTCAGAGAAATCAATTTTTCTGGGTCATAATTAATTTTTTTTTTCTCATTTTGTAAAATTATTAGATCTAATTTCTGCAATCATTTCCTTCTGATTTGCTTAAAAATGATGACTTTTTAGCTCAAAAAAAAAAAAAAAACCCACAAAAAAGACTTCATTTTTATTATGTTTTTCTTAAAGTAGATCTGTTTTTTTTCTTCTTTTTTAAACATATGAATTTAGAAAAAGGATGAATTATTTCCCAGAAGAAGTATTAGAGCATATATTTGATTTTGTAACTAGCAACCAAGATCGAAACTCAGTATCATTAGTATGCAAAACATGGTTTAAAGTAGAAAGAGAAAGTAGATCTCAAATATTTATAGGAAACTGTTATGCAATTAACCCAGAAAGATTAATAGGAAGGTTTCCAAGATTAAGGGTACTTACTTTAAAAGGAAAGCCTCATTTTGCAGATTTTAATTTGGTACCTCATGATTGGGGAGGTTATGTTTACCCCTGGATTGAGGCTCTTGCTAAGGGTTGCCCTTCACTTGAAGGACTTAGGTTGAAAAGAATGGTTGTTAGTGATGAAAGTCTTGAACTTTTGTCTAAATCTTTTCAACATTTTAAGTCTCTTGTTCTGGTTAGTTGTGAAGGCTTCACTACTGATGGTCTTGCTGCTATTGCCTCCAATTGCAGGTATATTTTCATTTATGTTTTACATTTTTGTTTTTATTTGGCATTTACATGTCCATTTCCAGCTGTGAAACTTAATTTTGTGTAGTAAGTGAGTTAAATGGGAAAGTAGTTGCTGAAGGGGTATTTTTATATTACTAATTTAAAGAAAAATGAGACTGGAAAGATTAATTTAGATTTTAAAAATGGGATATTTGATTTAGTAATTTAGTGAAAAAGGAAATAGTTGGAAATAGAAAGGGCAAATCAGGAAATGAAGATCTAAGGAATTTTAGAGGAAGAAGCAAGTAAAAATATGCAAGTTTGACTTTTTTGTATGGTATCAGTTTTTATGCTTTGGCATCTAAGGTGGGATGAGTAATTGTGGGGAAGTCAGCTGATTTGCTTAGTTAATTTAGGAATCTAGGTGAAAATACTATTAATCTGAACTTGTTCTGTTGGAAATTAGGAGCATAAATTTCTTTCTTTAGATCTTATTTTAATTGTGGTAGTTGAAAGTAACTTTTGGAACCGGGCCTTTTTTTTTTGGTGAGATGATGCATCCAATAGAGTGGGACATTCTATTTGAGAGTAAAGGGTTTAGCTTTTCTTCGCGATTTTGTTTCTCCTACTGTATTGTTTTTAGATCGAATATACCTTCTTTCTACTGTTCTGTTATGCATATTATATGCTGAGGCTTTGGTTCGATTGATTGAAAGTGGCTTTGTGAGTGATAGTTGAATAATAGTTGCTAGTTTTATGATTTTTTGTGGTATCACTTTTTGAGAATTCTTAAAATGATGCCCTCAAAACATTGATTGAAGAAATAAAGATGATAGGGCAAATGCTTTTTGAAGAAAAAGATGTGAATGTTAAAGATTGCTTTAGTTTTGGTTGCTCCTGTTGACACTTCCTGCACTTTAGCAAGTTCAGTTTCGTGAAGGCTAGTAGTCGAGCAGCTTAGTGGATGGGTGAAAGGAGAACATAGATCTAGGGCAGTGGAGGGGAAATGTGTAACGATATATAGGGGACTGCAAAGGAACTCAAGAGTGTTTATATTATTATTTGCAGATTGGCCTATCATTTATTGTATGCATACTCTTTTGAGATTGGTATCATTTAGCTTCTGCCCATTTTGATTCCTCTGTGTGCTGAAGTTGATCTAACTTTAAGCTTCTTTATTATTGAAGATGAATTGTTATGAACACGAAAGGGAAAAGTTAAAAGTTATATTCTGATTTTGTGCTCCATTATGCTAGGAACCTGAGAGAGCTGGACTTGCAAGAAAATGAGGTAGATGATCGCAAGGGACATTGGCTAAGTTGCTTCCCTGAGAATTGCACATCGCTTGTGTCCCTCAATTTTGCATGCCTCAAGGGAGAAGTCAATCTGGCATCGCTTGAGAGGCTGGTAGCTAGGAGTCCAAATCTTAGGAGTCTCAGGCTTAATCGTACTGTTCCTTTTGAGACCCTTCAGAAGATCCTTTCAAAGGCACCTCAATTGGTAGACTTGGGCACCGGATCCTTTGTTCATGATCCAAAGTCTGAGACCTACAGTAACCTTATGACTGCCATATCCAAGTGTGAATCAGTTAGGAGCTTATCAGGATTCTTGGAAGTTTCTGATCGCTGTCTTCCTGCTATTTATCCACTATGCTCAAACCTGACCACTTTGAACCTAAGCTATGCACCTGGAATTAGTGGGTTTGAGCTGACACAGCTTATCCTTCATTGCAAGAAACTCCAACGCCTGTGGGTATGTTCCTTGTCAAGTTTTCAACTTTTGCATAGTTCATTGCTCGATTTATTCAGGTGAAAAGAAAAAAAAACGGTTGGAAAACTGATTGCTTCAATTTATTCAATTCCCATGCGTATACTACGTACTGTATTGTGTTTATTTTCAAGGAATTTTTAGTTCTTTTTTGAGGATATTTCTTTGACTTGATATCAGGACTATATTAAAGTTAATACAGTAGTTTTTTAGTTTTTGTTCACTCATAGACTTGTCTAATTCTAGGATATTTATTCCATGCAGATATTAGATTGCATTGGAGACAAGGGGCTTGCTCTTGTTGCAGATACTTGTAAAGAATTGGAAGAGTTAAGGGTTTTTCCTTCTGACCCATTTGCTCCTGGGGAAGCTGCTGCTGTCACTGAGGAAGGGCTTGTTGCAATTTCAAGTGGCTGTCCTAAGCTCAACTCTGTCCTCTACTTCTGCCACCAAATGACGAATGCCGGATTAATGACCGTGGCAAAGAACTGCCCGAATTTCATCCGATTCAGATTGTGTATCCTAGATCCAATAAAACCCGATGCAGTCACCGGGGAACCTTTAGATGAGGGTTTTGGGGCGATTGTTCAATCGTGCAAGAGCCTGCGGCGGTTATCAATTTCAGGACTTCTGACTGACCAGGTCTTCCTGTACATTGGTATGTATGCCAAGCAACTACAGATGCTTTCTGTTGCTTTTGCTGGAGATAGTGATAAGGCGATGATTAATGTGTTGAATGGGTGCAACAAGCTCCGGAAGTTAGAGATTCGGGATTGCCCCTTTGGAAATGCGGCACTTCTAACTGACATCGGGAAGTATGAAGCAATGCGATCCCTTTGGATGTCGTCTTGTGAAGTGACCTTGGGGGCTTGCAAGTTGCTTGCGAGGAAGATGCCACGGTTAAATGTGGAGATCATCGATGAGAATGAGCAAGGGGATTTCAATCTCGACGATGACAGGCAGAAAGTAGAAAAGATGTACCTATATCGAACTTTGGTTGGGCCGAGGAAAGATGCACCAGAGTTCGTATGGACCTTGTAGTTTGTATCTTTAGTATGGATTATTTTTCCCCTGCTTATTATCATGCTGTTGTATTGCTGTTTTTTTTTTTTTTCCTTAGGCAAACTGGTTTTTGGACATGTAGCACATTATGGTGAAGTACTTTCCCCAATTTGATGGAAAGCCTAGTATTTTGTGTCTTTTATACGGAGTATGATTTGGCTGTTGGTTAAGAGGCAAACCGAACTGAACTAAATTGTATTACTAATTCTAATGAGCACGAGTTGAGCAAAGCCTTATTGAGCTTAGTGAGTAGCGAGCATGAGTCGAGCATATGTAAAAAGTTTCGAGTCGAGTTGAGCACTTAATTGATCTAAATTGAGCTCATTTGGTACATGAAAAATTGATTTTACGTAAAATGAGTTTTCTGAATTTAATTAAAGGTTTGAACTTAGGTTTTCAAGTCCATTTGACAAACCTGCCCATAAGATCAAGGTTAGCAAAAGTTGAGGAAATAATTCAAGTTGACCGATAATTTCCACAGGATGTATTTGAGGGGAGATGAGAGAATCAGGAATACTATACTTTTCATTCATTGGGTTGGATTTTGAGCTCAAGAATAGGACCCGAAATCAATTGAACTCGAAAAGACTAAAACTAAGCAGATCAAAAGATTCAAAACCAGCCCAAATTACATCCATTGGGTTAGTGACAATTTTTTATTTTTTCAAAATAAGAATTTAAAGTTCCACAAAAAACCACTTAAAAATAATAGGGCAAAGAAAAATAATAGATAATGTATTGTGTTTTCAATGCATTGTTCTTTGATTCAGATGACTCGTTATGCCAACTTTGAATTGTTGCTATTTTACAAGTAATTTGATAATTTTAGTAGTTAGGTGGTATAAACTCGTTTTACTCAGGTAGTGTTAAATAATGCAATTTAAAAAAATTTGCGTGACAAAATAAGCACGATTAAGTTGCCCGATTAGAGATAACGTTCTTGACCCAAACTACCTGTACTCGAAAATTCTAAGTCATGGTCAAAAGGTTGTTGACCCAACATCACCCAACCCAAAACCGACTAGTCAGGTCTAGGAACCAATTGATAAACATGAACCCTTTAAGCTAAATTGCTATTGGTTCCATTGCTAATGTGTACTGTATAGTAAGCATGATCCGGCGCCAAAATGTACAAAAGCCCACATTTATCTATATAATTCAAACAAAATTAAGGGCAAACCTCAAATATTTTCAAGATATTTCACATAGATTTTGGAATTACTTACAAACTATAGGCATCAGTTCAAATAATATTACGAATACTGATTTCTGCAATTATAAAAGCTCTGATCATAAAATAAAGACAGCAGATGTGGGCATCAGAGAAATGCTCAAGATTCACAGATGAGAATGCCCATAATAGAAGGGGACACATAGTCTTCAAGAGGGGGACATATAGTTTCGGTAGAATACCTAGTAGAGCAAGGTGACTAGAAGCAGCATTCTTCGAACAAACAGCAGCAACAGAGGGCACCAAAACTGCAAACAAGAAATAAAAAGTTATTGCAAAATAGCCAATAGTTCGGTACTCTTGATATGTTTCCAAAAACAATAAAAACTGTAGATAGGAAAAATAGGTTACTTTTTGGAAAAAATAAGACAGAAGGTTTTTCTGCTATGTACAATAGAATACTAAGAATTTTGGAATTAGTCAATTAAAAAATCCATTTCTTCACTCTGTATTTCTTAATCCTACACATCTATCTTGCGATCCAATGCTCTTTCCCGAGAGTGTTTTATGGATGGTTGTATATTCTGATTGATTCGTTACAAGTTGATAGCACAAAGCCGACTTTTTTGGGCCAATAATAGATTCATGGGGGTCATCTATGTCCCAAAAAATACGAAATTGGGGACTATGAAACACAATAGCAAAAGCAACAAGACCAGATTAGAGCTATTACTGGACAAACCTTTAAAGCAAAAATAAGCTTAATTCACAAAAGCCCACCCAAGCTTACTCGTCAATCCCGGCTTCAACATTTGCAAGGTGCAACCAACGAAAAAGTGAATGATGAACTATGTGAAACTGCCCATTTAAGAATTTGGGGGAAAGGAATACCCTAAAAGAAGGGGTTAAGAATCTTGCAGTCCTTAGTAAGAATGTCACTAACAATTGCGAATGCCTATCAAATCATAGGAGCTACAAGCAGGGTTAAGAAATCCAAACTTATAATCCTAAATAAAGTCAGGAAGAGCACATATTTTCCTGGACTCAAAACAAACACTGCAGGAAGTTGGGCTGCTACGTAAAACCTGCTGATGCAGAGAGCTTCAAAAAGTACATACTTGTGTATGGTTTCCAATAGCCATGGGAGAGGGAAGACTTTAACACCAATACAATGATACAGTACTCTATGATGAATTATGGGACTTTGAACATTTTAGAATGGAATTTCAATGTATTTTACATGGCCGAAAACATGTGATAAACAAGTATATCAAGGGAGCCTGTCTTGGCTGTTTGATTCTCAATTACAATAAAGGCGTAAAGATAATGATTCACTGAAGCACCAGTAGCCATGAGTCAGGTATTTGCTATTATGATGAGGGTTTCAGCATACCTCTACATTATTAACATTCTCACCACCCCCACCCCCTCCTACAATATTAATCTTTGAGCACCACCAACAAAACTCATCAACTCCAACCCACCTTAGAAATAATCATTTTGCAAAATTTGGTGGAATATATATTCTCAAGATTCATGAGATAAAACACTTGGGAATGTTGGGACACATTGTGTTCGCTGCAGGATTCTCTACTGTGCAAGGAAGTTTGTGAGATGTCTGAAGTTAAAGGAGTGGTGAAATTCCAAAAGGCATGTGAGGACTTAAGACTGCCGACTGCTCCAATACTGGCCATATGTTGCCATTCCTTCTGTTATTAAAACATCTTCAAACCCGGAATTGGTGCAGTTTTGATGCATAAAGGCATCAAATCTCGTTGACTAAAGAAAAAGAGGTCGCTGGTGTTTGCAATGGAGACCTTATGTAGCTAGCAAACATTAACATGATTATTCCCATTAGAAATACATTTTCAGCAAAGTATTACACATTTTGTGTGGGAGTTGTCTGGCAAGAGGGGAGGTTTTGGGGGGGGGGTCTTTAACTGTAAAATCAGATTAGTTTCTTGTAAAGAGCATCCTTGAGAAAAACAAATTGCTACAACATTTGAGAACAAATAATTTTCTTAGTTAACAGCCTTGAGTTTTGTAGTGCGCAACACACAGGATTGTTCAAGTACAGCAAACTAATGCAACTTCCCATCCAAATAGCCCCTCTGGTTTAGATTGTATTGAGAAGAGAAGTAGTGTCCAAATACTCTATGCTAACTCAAAGGTTTCAGTTTGTCTCATGTCAGTCTATCAAGAAAACACTCAGGGATACATGCCAGTTGTAGGAGCTTTATATTGAAAGGGCATGAAAAGACTGAAGGTTTTCATTGCTAGTTGTGATAGATCAAAAGAACAAACTCTTTCTACTGCCTTCTAAAGGTTCCTGCGGTACTTAACAATCCCAGATGCAATTGGACAGAGGTGTCAATGGATATTGCGGATGGGAGATCTTTTCAAGGGAAGAAGGCAATCTTGGTAGTGGTTGACAGATTGAGCAAGAATGCTCATTTGCGGATGCATCTCATCCCTTTATTGGTCAAACAGTACCACATTTCTATCAGTACCACAATTACACATGACATGTTTCTCTTGCAACATTGTAAATGGTAAAAATAATATATTTTTGAGCTAACATAAAGAAAAGCTCTTTTGCCAGTAGCAGAGCAGATGTATGTATCCACATATTATTTTTGTCCAATGGGTGGTCAAAAAGGCAATTATTGGTACACAACTGTAAATTTGTTTGGCAAACAGCCTAAGAGGTGGCCTTTTGGGCTTTGAATGACCGAGGGGAGGTACAACACTATCTATCACATCTACCAGGAAATCCTCAATGTTCAATGAAACACTTCGTATGTATCAAGATGCTAGAGTTTTCACTTACAAGGGTATCAACACAAGATGAAGAATCAAGTTAATAGAAGAAAATATAGATTTAGTCGAAATTAGGAATTGAGTTTAAGTAAAGCTCTACCTGTCAGGCCATAAAGGCAGAGTTCTCCTGAGTGCCCAACTGCCTATAGACCTCCTAACGAGCTAGCAACCAATTTAAGGCATATCTTACAGTGTGTTTGGATAGATAATTGGGAGGGAAAAGAAAGGGAGGGAGGGGAAGGGGAGAAATCAATTTCTTACAATTTAATCCCTCCTTTTTTCTCCCCTCCAATTTCCTTCCTTCCTCAATTGTTACCCTAATAAAAGATACTCCATCCTTCCATTTGTGGTTGGTGTTTTTCCTACTATTGCTAAATATGCACCGTTATATTGCTCGTGATTGGATTTCCCTTCTCTTCCTTTCCCTCAATTTCCTTCAATCCAAACAAAGTGCTATAGAATTCAAGGTAAGAGCGTGGCTTACAAAATTCAACTACATGAAGGCTCATACACTTGTAGTAGAAAGGTAGCCAAGAAGGGAAATCAAGATGTGATGTAAGGCAATACTCGCAAAATAGGCCAATCCTTGAAAAAAGGAGGCTGTTGTTTTCTGTAATATAAAATGAACAGAATTAAGCTGAAGCCCTTACATTCTGGATACAGTTGACAGTTAATAGGATCTGATAATCCTCACTCTCTCCTCGTAACTCTGCGAAATCCATCTTGACGTTTAGTTAATTCTCTTTCTTCTTTTAGAGAGTTCTTTTGGAAGGTACTCAAATTTTCAGAATAAGCCTAATCAACTAAACCACCATCAAACATCTAGAGAAAAATCAAGGTATTTAGTTGTTCAGCTTATTCAGTCTCAGAAGAAAATAGGTTTGGTTGGGGGGGTGGGGGGGAGGGGGTTGAAGAAGAGCAAGAATGAAAAAGAATACAATTACTTGTCCAAGAGAACACAAAAGACAACTTCAAGATTAATTAGTATCCCTATAACTTACCCAAATTATACAACCCATTTGTTAGGGTTAGTCACTCCCTATCTATGTTATTCGAATTCTTCAATTTACATACCTGTGTCGGATCCTCGACACTTAGACCCTTCATTGTTAACCAAAATCATGAAATAATTTCACAAAATAGCCAAGTCAGACACTTAGACAATTATTGGACATGGGTACCAAGTTGTAATATAGCTCCTCATGATCTACCCAATGCATACAAGCCAGTTGTAAGGCTTGGTCATCAATACTTCATCAAAAACACACTTACACCTGTCAATGTATCTCAAGACTTGTACGTGGTTATGTGACTAATCTGCTAGGCTAAATAAAGAGCTATTTTAATCGGACTCAAAACTCAAGTATGCATCCAAGTGCCTAACTCAGCTATTTTGTAAAGGTTTCCGTCATTTTAGCCTAAAACGAAGAGCCTTGTTCATACCCATATTAGAGGATCCAACAAAGGTGCTTGACATGAAATAAAGGATCCAACACTTCCATTATCTTGCATTGCCCACTCACCAATCACTCTTCTGTAAAACCATCACCTAGAGCATCCCACTCCATATTTTCACTCAATTCCCATTAGTCAATAAGGCAGTAATGATGTGAACAGAAAACTTTGATACATTTTAATTAAATAACTACGTAAAATTTGACCAGAATCTTATCTTCAACCTTCAACTTACTTTACAACATGAAAAAGCTAGTTGCTTGAGGGATCCACTATTCCACCGTGACCCTTGTTTAATCTCAAGCTTATTAGGAAGCTATCACATACGTTTGCAAGAAACCCTTCCTATACACTGAGAACGATTCCATCAGAAGTTAGGCGGATATGGATTAAAGATGAGATGAAAATGATGTGGATCTAAAGCTTCTTTTAAGCATTCATTATCATTACTCCAATATTCACAGCCTGAACTATGGAATAGAGCATATCAAATGCAAGTTGCAACTCAGTCATGTCAAGTTCTCAAGCCATCCCATTTCAATAACAATACATTGATCTAGCAAACATTAACAATATGTTGGGATGGCTATTATGGCAGGAAAGGGAGGTGAGCAGAAGAAAGGAGTTAACTTGCATCTTCCTTCCAAAATTCCCCAACATTGGAATCACTGGTTTAATAATTGGGGAGGACAATGGATCCCTTAATTTCCCCAAAGTCATATCTAAGCAAGGGAAAATGAATCCCTCACTTTTTCTTTCCCCTCTTTCCTCTAAAAGCTCCCATCCTATCACATTGTAAGGTGAGGAATCGAGTATACCCTAGTTCTGCCAAAATTTTCTCATGCATGTGAACTTTGATTTCTATCTATCTAATATGATGGCAGATCAACTCCAATCTAAATCAAAATGGAGGATTGGATTAAAAAAATTATGCGCCAAGTCGTCAATGAACCATCTCAGTAGTTTCTTAAGAATCGGAATATAGGCTAATCAAGCAACACTTTAGTCATGACATACTTGAAGGAAATTTGTTGGATATGTCCATGCTAGGAAAAACAGCATCAAAATTAAAATGATCAACAATGTAAGAATGATCATTCTAGAATGTACTGAAAAGAAGTTGAGAACACCTAGAAGTAAGATCACTAAGACGAGCTAAACACATAGGAGGAAGCACCAAAATTCACCAGTAAGAAGATTACGTTAAGGAATTATGAGAAATGAGGAGAGGTGTACTAAAGAAGAACCCCAAGAGGAGGCAAAAAAAACTCCGAAGTCCTAGTGATCAAAGCAATTTACTTTAGCAATGATCACGAGAAACAGATATCTTACCGGCTTTGAAAATTAGACTCATCTCTTATAGCTGCATACTAAATACATACACATTAACACGTAAATTAACACTAACACAAATCATGAACCATATTCATCACACTTCACATCCACATAATCTCTTCAATAACTGTATTGCAGAAAGAGTACATCAATGCATCCAAATCACCCCAATTTGCAAATGAAACAGAGCAGAAAAAACAACAACTACATTCATCACACTTCACATTAGCACAGTACATCATGCTCCCTAGTGTACGATCTAATTAGCGAAAAATAAAAAAGATCAAAAGGGGGAAAAAGATTAAAAAAAACATACCATCCCTTCAAGAAGGAGAAACAACCACCATCATGATGATGAGAATGTTCACAATGATAAACTTGGGTGGGTGGATAAGGTTGAGGAGGCGGCGGAGGCGGAGGGTAGCCATCATTGAAGTAACCCTGGTAACCACCAGGTTGGTGGTGGTGATGGTGGTGTTGAGGGTAACCTCCGCCGTACCCTGGCGGTGGAGGGTACCCTTGTGGGGGAGGGTACCCTTCATACCCTGGTGGTGGTGGTGCTGATGGTGGTGCATATGGTGTACCATACCCTAAATCATCATCATCATAATCATCATCAAAATTTAATCAAAAATACCCAGAAAAAATAAATAATGATTAATAAATAATAATAAAAACTGGGAAATTAAATTCAAACTTGAACAAGAAAATTCAATTCAATTCAAAAAAAAAAAAAAAAACAGATGAATTAATTGGGGTTTACCTGGAGGAGGATAACTCATTGTTTTTGTTTGGTGTCTTCTGTTTGAATTTGGGTTTCTTATGAATTAAGACTGAATAATTTGATATTTTATAGGAGTAATTAATTAGTTTTGGTGAAATACTCGACGAAAAGAAAATTTGGAAATAATAATTTTGATTTTGGTATTGAAGACCAATTCTGTGAAATTTGAAAAAAATTGCCAGACTGTATCCAATAAGGTGACACCTCGTGTTAGCAGTATTAGTAGTGATAGAGAGAGAAAAACTTAACTAGATTACACTATTACGGATCTGTCTATTAAGCTGAGTTTGGGGAGGATGAGGAGTGGAGGGATGGTGATATCTCAAGTGGTTAGACCTTCTCTTTTGGTTTCAGATAATTATGAAATCGATTCTCGTTCTTATGACTCTTTTAAACACACACACACAAAAAAAAAAAAAAAAAAATTTAAAAATTAAAAAAAAGTTTAAAAAAAAGTGGAGGGATGGTTAGTCCCTCTATCTCCCCTGGTGTGACCAAGGTTCAATCCTCACCCCTCCTTTCTTGTGATAGGAGGAACACCTTATATCCATGGTCGGCCCATACCATGTCTAGCTTGTGCGACTGCACAGGGCCCACATTTACATGGGGCCACAGATTAAAGTAAGGTATATATATTATCAGTTACTCCATCCGTCCCATAATATAGTTCCTGTTTTCCTATTTTGGAGATCCAAAATATTGTTCATATTTCTATTTTTGGATAGTATGTAAAGACCATTATATCCTCACTTTTTTAACTTTATTCATTATACTTTCTAAATTATCCTTGAATTTTACACATGTCTTGTACTTTTTCCACTTTCTCTCTCTAACTTTTGTCTATAATTGTACTTTTCACTTTTATTAATGTACTTCATCCACTTTTTCCTACTATTTCTTAAATACCGTGAAAAAACACAAACAAGAACTATATTATGAGACGGAGGGAGTACAATACAATACATGCATACTCAATGCGATTTAGTGGTTTAATTTTTATAGATGTTGTACAATGGTTTGAGGTTCGAAACCCATTAAAGCCTCATATATCCTTTTTTTTTTTTCTTTCCAAAAAGCAAATTAATGCCTACTTAATTTGCTTTTTAAGTATAATTTGTTCTTTTGAGGGTTGGGGTAAAATTAAACAATGCTTTTGTTTTGTTTTGTTCTATTAAATAAAAATAAGTCAGGAGTATCATAAAAACTTATATTCTAAGATAAATGATGAATTTATATTTGTATTACATTTTAATGGTAAACTAGTTTTTAGATTCGGGCGATGCCCCGAGTTACTCTATTAATTTCATGATAAAACTCCTTATTTATCTTTAATTTTAGGAGAATGACATATAATATGGTTAGAGCTTAATGGCTGACGCTATATTATCAAAACTTAAGGTCGTGGGTTCAAATCTTGTATAAACACGTGAATGAAAAACTCGTTTGATTGAGGAAGATGTCACGCGACACCAAAATTTCTTTAATAACGCCTTTTAATATATAGTATAGATTAATAAAAGGGCAAAATTTATACTTCGTATTCGCACAGGGCCTCTGAATTGAAATAGTTGGGACGGCCCTGCTTATATCTTAACGTTTTTGTTTTCTTTTTAAAAAAACAAAAAATTAAGTTGAGTTTGGGCTTAAAGCCTTAAACAAAATACTTTCTCCGCCCACTATTATGTGCAGCACATACTATAAATGGATGTTTTCTATTATGTGCAATAAATTAGTTTTTTTTCCCCATTTTTAATAACTTTTTTTTGTAGCAAATTGACCAAAATACCCTTACTTAAAACTTTATAACCTCAACTAGCTTAAGTCCAATGCCATGTACGATTTTACTAACAATTAGAACAAATTTTAATTTAATAATAACTTACAAAAAAGAAAAATATATTTTTAATTGAAATAAAATAACTTAGTTTGAAATTTAAACTGTATTTATACCAAAGATGTTAAGTTTATTAATACATTAGACTTTCTAAGAAAATTGAAAGACATTTAGTGACTATGAGATTTTTTTTTTTTTTTTTAAATGAAAATTTTAGTTTAATATCCGTAAAATATATTAATATTAGTACGTACTAAGAATCTTTTATTATAATTATAATCTATAAAGTCAATAAGAAAATAGAAAGAAAAATAAGTAGGAACATCTTTTTTGGAAATGGCTTTTGGTGGAAAAAACACAACACCAAGAAGTTTCTGTTTTAGTATTATACTAGGTTAGGTCTCGTGCCATGAACAATAATTTTACTATTATTCTAAATACAACACTATATTTGTAAACAAATAAAAATAAAATCTTTTATACGTAAAAAAAACTGTGGACAAAGTATAACCATAGTATATAATTTTTCTTCTTAGTTTAGGTATTTAATGAAATGATACATGAAATATAATGAAAGAGTAAATTAGACAAATGAGTGCTGTAAAAGTTTTAATTCGGTATCGTTTTTTCTTCTTATTAACAAATAATTAAGTATTTTAAAAGTGTATATTAAGCATTATGGGAAGAATAATTACTATTAATATTTAGATCATTACATTGAAGGTTGTGGGTAAATGTAATACTCTGTATTTTTATAATATTTTATATATATAAATTTTTTATTTTAATTCTAAATTAAAATGATTCATTTCATTTTAAATAAATTAATTATTTAAAGGAAAAATGAAAACTAATAATCCCACCTTTACCATTTTTGCTCAAAATAATCCCACCTATTCGAAATCTGTAAACAATCCCACTTTTAACCCCCATCTGCTCAAAACAAGCCTTTTACCGATTTGTGAAATTGGTCATCTGTTTCAGAAGGTGACTTGGCACGTGTCACCTTCTGATTGTTTTTTTTTTAATAAATATTTTTTAAAAATAAAGGATAATAAAAAAAAGAAAAAAAAAAACCCCTTCCCTTTTCCTGGATCCTTCCCTTGCCGAAGTTCCCTTTGCCAGATCGACCTTGTCGCAGCCAACGAACACGAAAACCCCTTCCTCCCTCCTCGATTTCCTCCCCTGACGGAACCCCCCTCCAATCCCGCTGCCAGCTAAGCTGTAAGAAAAGGGGAGAATTTAGAGGTTTTGTGGGTGGTCGAATTTTGGGGTTTCATGGGTGGTCAGGTTTTGGGGTTTTGTAGGTGGTCAGGTTTTAGGGTTTCGTGGGTGGTCGGGTTTAGGGATCTAGAGATGGTCGAATTTTGGGGGTTCGTGAAGGTGGTCGAATTCAGGGTTGGGTGGGTCTGCTTGACTAGGCCGTATTGGGTGGTGTAGGTGGTGGTGGGGGTTGTGTGGTGGGTTAGTTGTACTAGGTGAAGTTGGGTAGGTGGTGGTGTTTGATAAGGTGGTGTGGTTATGGAGGGGGTGGTGGAAGTTAGGGAGGAGTGAATTTTTTTTTTTTTATTTAAAAAAAAAAAAAAATTCAACCTGTTAAACAGGTTACAGGTAAATAGGCTTATTTTAAGCAGATGGAGGTTAAAGGTGAGGTTGTTTCCAAATTTTGAAAAGGTGGGATTGTTTTGAGCAGAAATGGCTAAGGTGGGATTATTAGTTTCCATTTTTCCTTATTCAAATATAAAATAAGTGTGTATAAAATAATATGAGCTAATAATTGGGCAATAAAGTGTTTTAATTTGGGTCAACATCAATAAAAGTGTTGGACTAACTTGTTGGGAGTAAAAGAGTTTTTAAGGGCCCAACAAGTTAGTTCCAAAGGAGAATTCAAGGAGGAATGAGATTAGTAATGAAAGTTTTGTAAATAAGTATTTTTATTATAAAAGGGGGATATAAATACCTCAAAAACTCAAGAATTTCACACTTAAGAATCAAATTGTCAGATTTTACTAAATTCCAAAATTTTCCTCTTATTTTTCTCTCTCCCTTCTCCTCTCTTTTTCTCCTCTCTTTCTCACGCCTCTCTCTCCTCCAACCACACGCCACCGACGACCACACCAGCAGCCACCGTCGGCCATCAGCTCACATCGGCGACCAGCAGCTGCCAGCCACGCCGGCCATCGACCGTGCCTCCCTCCTCTCTCCTCTTTTCTTGGTTTTGGTACAAAAGAAAAAAAAAACTCTTCTCCTAATTTAATTTCTAAGTTTATTTTAATTAATTCAAGGCATGATTTTAATTATATGTTGATGTTATTTTTGGTTAGTTGATGTTGTTAATTTATTCTTATAATTTTCAGATTTTAATTTGATTGAAAACCCCAATTTACAAACCCTAGAATTTGGGAATTTAATGTTTATGATTAGGGTTTGATTCTAGGTTGTTGTGGTTGTTAAATTAATGATTAGAACATGTTTTTAATGAGTTTTAAGCCCTTAATTAATGTTGGAATTTAATTATACACATTAATTTTAATTATTATATTAGGGTTTGATTACCTATAAAAGGAAAAAAGTTCTTGATGATTTAATATGATTTTCTAGTTGATTAGTGATGTTTTATACTAAATGAGTATGCTGGAATTTTATTTAAGTCATGAAAACTAAGTCTTTTCGAAAGAGTTTTAAGTACCCACTTAAAGAAAAGGTTTTAAGGCTTTTAAACCATTGAATTGGGTTAATTAGTGAGGTTTAAAGTATATTATAGTTGTTGGAAATTTGTGAGAAGTTAGTTTACTTATTTACCCAATCATGTAAGTTGAGATTGAGTCAAGGAAGTTTATTAGTGCATCATATGCACCAAGTTAGTAATAGTGCAATTTTGTGCACAAAACTAGGCAAGGAACCTTAATTAAAATAAATTTTATGTGCTCACTAATTAATTCAAGAATTAAATTGAGGTATGTGTTGATGATTGTTGTATTGTATTCTTGTTTGATTAGTTGGAGTCATCACAAGTTAAATTGGTAAATCACGTAAAGTGTAGAGGATACGCACCAAAACTCTTGGAACGTATATACCTTAAGTATGACCATACGGGGGGAGTTATGTGACTTTATATTTGATCATAGCTTCTATAGGGGTACCGGACGATGTACTTTCTTTTATTATTAATGCGCTGGAATTCCTTCACAAGTGTGACATAGTAGGTGCCAATTGGGGTAGCTCCCTAATTGGAAGCTCCATATTTTAAATGAGCTATTATATTGTTAAGAAAGGAAACCTGTTTGATGCGTAATCCAAAGTTATTTATTAATAATTAATATTGTTAGTTATGAGTCAAAGGTAAGTTGACTTATGAAGTGTATGGCTGATGAGTGTCATAACTGACACTCATAGGGTAGTTTTCTTCGT